TTTCGATTCTCCCTGTAGATATCTCAGGTTTCTTGGCTGTACTAAAAAAACACAAAAATGTGTAATTTTTATCTTTTACCGTTTGAAAAATAGCAATACTGTCCATATGAAAAAATAAGAACCCTGTATATGAATAATCAATAGAGGTACTTAAAATATTAAGTTATTATTTTAAAGAGTTATATTTATATTTCCGTACACAATAAGTAGATGGTAAAATAATGACTTGAAGCAGATATAATTAGATTATAGCTGGAATATGTAACTATTAGACATAGAGTGATATATTTATAAAAAAAATGTCTTCCAAAGAGTCTTCCAAGATGAACTTTAGCAATATTTAAATGTTTATTATCACCGCAAATGAATGTTAAATTTAATAAAGTATATTTAGGTAATTATAAATAAATTAATAGTGGTACAACTCAAGAAAAATGATTTTTTTAGACAATATATAAAGAAAAGTTTAACAAAAATACTCTTGTAAAAATTTGCTAATAATAACAAATAATATGAGAGTAATTATGACATTTATAATAATTATGTATTGAAAATAGAGTTTTAAACATTGAATATATCTAACCTAATCATATGTATAAACATAATATTATAAGCCATAATATTGTCTAAAGTTGGAAAAACTGATATAATAATGTACCTATCTAATTTCTTTATTATTTTTTAAAGAATTTAACCATAAGTGTTAGTCATCAATGTAGATATGAAAATTAGAGTCTGTATTTAACTTTGAAAATTATGATTCTATTAAAAAAATACTATTTGAATTGCGACCCAATTTTTACTGTCTTTTAAGTTGTCTACAAAAAAATATATTGTTAAAACCAGAAAAAACTAATTTTATTTCTCAACAGACTCCTTTTGTTAAAGATTGTTCCTATTTTTTTTTTTTTTTTTATTGAGGATAAAGACATTACAGGTATATTTATTTGATTATAAACCATATGAATGTACCTATATTCCTAATTTATGCCTTTCAGGCCTCTTGTTATGTTAAAGATTATTCCTACCTTTTTTCAAATTATGATAAAGACATTGCAGCTTTATTTATTTCGTTATAAAACACATGTATATTTCTAAAATTTTGTTATAAATAAAAGTGTATAATATGAGAAATCCTTCTGTTTTATTTCAAATCATAACTTAAAGTTTGAAGCAAAGCAACTATTGAATATTTCATGAAATGATTTTATTGAAATAAAATAGTATATTACACACCGAGGTGGGAAGAGTTTCATTCCTGTCGTGAGATTAGTTACATCACCGAGACGCGAAGCGTCGAGGTTAGCTATGATCTCGAGACAGGAATAAAACTTCCTACCGAGGTTTGTAAACTATTTTATTTACAACCATCATATTTCGATCAAAGTTAATAAATCTCTGTTTCGTTCTGAACATACCTAAAATATTACATTTAACGACAAATTACCAAGCGCGCAGTTTTCTCAGAATAATCAAGTAAATATATTGTTACTGTGATTACGGGTTAAACAACTGTCACCAATATATATAAATGTCAGATAAAGCCGGATAATAAATTTGCGAATAATAAATATCAATAAATAGTTTGTTGTATTTTAGTTCATTGTTGTTTTTTATTGTTTGCCATTAAATAGGTATAAAATTTGTCAAAAAAATGTGTTCTTTTTAAATATAAAAAATATTCATTTGGAATAGATGAAATGAGGGCGGGAAGTAGAAGTGTGTAATGTGACACTTCCCAACCTTCAATGACGTTAGTAATGACAAAATTACATATATGGTTGTAAATAAAAATAATTAGTGACCACTGGGAGATTCCACCATCGACGACGATGAATGAGGGAGTGAATTGGTGAATGGGAAAGTAGTTGGACCTTCGAATGGTGGTACAATAAGCCGCAGGATACAATGTCGCCAGGCTACAGACGGGTCAGGGTGATAGCATAGGGTGTCCGAAGGATGTAAAACTAAAAAAAAATGATCCTAAACCAGTTTTTACACTATAAAATAAATCTAAAACAAAATATCAACAGCCAAATACGACTAAAGAGTATTTATAATTTTATTTTAAATACACAGACAAAAAACTTTCGTACACATTGTCGTCTTGTGTCAAACAAGTTTCTAAATACTTCTATAATTAGTTTAGAAATAATAATTAACAATTATATACCTACCTATTTAAGATTTTATCAAATTTCCAACTTCTACCTACTATGTATCGCTCGTTGAAAATTGGTTCTTTTATATTTGCAAGAAGTTTCACTTTTCAAAAAAAAAACACCTTTGTAACTGAAATGTGATTCACAATAAAAGTGTATTTAATACATTACATTTAATAACTAGAATGAAGATATAACATTTAATGCTTGGCATTCTATATTATACCCTTCACAATTTAGCAGACCCCCTTAACCCTCATTTTCAATTAGTTTTTTTTTTTAGAATTAGTAGGATTAATCCCTCTATAAAGCTTGATTTTTCTGAAGATTTTAATTGTATATCGTCTTTTGTTTCTGATTTAGGATTTTTTTCAATATTTTCAACCCCCCTTGTCTCTCCATTTTTATTCAAAATTAATAGGCTTCATCCCCCTACAAAGCTTGATTTTTTACTAAAAATTTCATGTTAATATCGCTGTTCATTTTTGACTTTTAATTTTAACGCTCTTAACATCCCCATTTTTAATTAAATGTCATTGTCTCTTTATAAAGCTTGCTTTTTGCTCAAAATTTGAAGTTGATACCTTTTTCATTTTTGAGTTATTTTTTTTTTAATATTTAAGCCCCCTTAACCCAAGTGGCACCATAAAAACAGAGTTTTGGTTTATTTGAGTTTTAAAATGGTTTTAATAATGTAGTAAATAAAAAGATACTGGTTTTAAAGTTTCCTTGTAGATATACTGCGGGCACTTAAAAGCCGTTTAGCATTTAATACTGGTTTTAAAGTTATCTTAATAAGATTCGCTAATAATGGTAAAATCTTAAAAGTTTGTTGGTCTTGTTGTAGTTTTAAAATGGTTTAGTTTCAATTAACTTCAAAACTACTTAGTTTTATGAAGGACTTGCAGGTTGTTTGGTTTTATTATGTTTTAGATTGTGACGTTATAGTTTTTAAGTAGTTTTAAAGAGATTCTTAATGTAACTAATAAAACCTATTATTAAATCTGCTTGATCTTAGGACAATTTGTTCAGTAAATATTGCATTTTAAAACTATTTCATTACTTTACCTTATAACGGCTTTTTTAAATGCAATTAGAAAGCTATATTAAAACGGGACGCTCTTAACTAAATCAATTTGGTTATCGTAAAGACTAACTGTACTTCTTGTTAGAAACATTAAAACTAGACTCATCCCCTCCTCTTACGTGGTCCAAATCAACCCCGCGTTTTATTTTATTGTTACTACATGATGGAAAAAAATATATAGTACCTGTGAATCAGTTACTGTCACCCACTAGTGCCACTAATATGTCTAATTAAAGTAACTAGAGAAGCAAAAAGGTACCTTTAAAGTATCGTGGCATTTTAGTGGCAATATTGGTGGCGAATTTGATCCTTTACAGTTTTTGCCACTATATTATTTTGACTTATGGCCACTGTGACTATAGAGTTACATAATCTGACCTTATATCCTCAAAAAAATGTTTCTATAGTAAACCTTGGATAAATTCACTTATGCCGAGTAAGTATATACCTAATTCTTCATTTTTTTTCAGTTAAACACAGACACAACTCGCATCTACCTTTGTCGGCCATTGGCTACTTTAAAAACATTTTTTATTGTTAATTTTGTTTGTTTATTATAATACGCAAATCCAAAAATAGCCATAACTTTTAAACAGCGCCTCGTATCTTCATAATTTTTTTTTGTTGATATTTATTTGTTAGCACAAATCGTCAATGTTTTTCTAATGCAAAAACATTAAATAAAATCTTCGGTATAGCAATTTTTAGGTTTAGTTCCTACATTATTTAGAAGTGGGTAAATAGATATACTAATGTATCGGAAACATTTTTTAATATTTTAAATCATTCTTCTGAAAATTATAAAATATTGGTTTTGCTGTCATAGTATGTCTGAAATTAAAATATTTAAAATAACGCAACAATTTTTGGTAGATCTTGAATGTAAGAAGTCTACTATTATTGATGATGACAATGACATGTTCGTATTATATTTAATAATTGAAGAGGTCAATGTAAACACAATATATTCACTTATATATATAAGTAAGCTTTCAATTATGTATTTTAATAATTTTCTTTGTTCCAATTGTAGGAAATCATAAGAATTGCTAATAATTTCAATTCAATGAGCAATATACATTGCATAATTGGTCATATCCAATGTAAAATGGTTTTATATGACTATCTAAACATTTTAAGTTTTTAAATATAGATATATCTATCAGTTCAGCACTTCTTTCTGTATTTTTCGGTTTTGGTATTTATCTGCCTCCGTAAATGTACATTGTACTTATTATAATTTGAGCATCATGTTATAAAATTACATATATTAGGCTGTTATGTTAAGAAAACTACTCATGTAAAAAGGCCAATAGACCTGTTTGAGTTTTTTTAAATAAATAAATAAATATTATTTTTTCAAAACAGTAAAAAAAATGTTTCTATGCTCTATTTACAAAATTAATCAAGTTTTGACTTCGGTCAGTCAAATGTTATTAAAATAAACCATTTTTCTTTTGTGATTTTACTTGTATCAGTTTTATTTAATAATAATATTAATAATAATATCTACTTTATGAATAATTTTGTTATTTTTTGTAGTATAATACTATTATAGTGTTGCTAGTAAAAATGAAGTCTGGTTTTTATATAGGACGATACAAAATATATCGGAAAAAATGTCCATGTCTAAAATTACTTTTGATAGAAATACGAAGTCCAGTTCTTGCATTGACCCCTTCAGTTACACCTCCAAAGTATCTCCACTATCTACAAATTTAACAACCTCGCTTTCCAATTTTTTTTTCTAGAATCCAACAAGTGGACGGTGGATTTTTCGAACGTTTCGGATCCCTCCTGAGGGAACAAGCAGAATTCGTTGAAGCCCAGGAGCAAATCGAAAAGAAACAAGTTGCCGAAGCGGCAGCTGAGGTTGCTCCCGAGAAAATCAACGAAGACAGCGACAACGAGCAACCGCTACCAACTACTGAAGAAAGCGATGAGGTCTCGGTTACATCTAGTGACTCCGAAACTGACGTGGAAAAAGACCAAAGCGAACTTATAGCGACTGCTTGGAATGTAAGTATTGTAAAATTTTTGTTTTAAATTTATACCTACATATTTGGGATGTCATGTCTTGATTTAGGACATTTCAACAACTGTCAAACGTTTCGTTCAAGGTATATGCTACACGTTTGTTTATTTCAAATTTAATAACGATTTGAGATCCGATAGATGTTTATAAATACCTACCTAATGACTGTACCTATGTAAATCATCGGTGACAAAAATAGAAGTTGATCCTATAAATTTAAACATTAATTAACTTGTTAATCTATTCCTTATAACAAAATGACACAATCAATTGTTTTTGCAATACAAATATGCATTAAAAAGATCATGCAAAAATCTTACGACTTGTTTACCTACTAAATAACAAGTGAGTTCGTTAATAATCATTTTAAACTTTTTTTATTTTAAAACTAGATAATTTTTAATTTAACAGATATATTTGGATGACAGAGAACATCAATCATGATCTTACTTATCCGATGTCAGTTTCCTAAACGTACTTTGCGTACCTATTTCAAGACCTTCTGCAATCTAATTTAATCGCATGTTTTCTTATTAGCTTCCTCATTTAATTAATGAGTTTGTTGACTCATGTCATCAATACTTCGCAATCTATTAGGTAAACCCATTTATTTTTTATTATCCACCTTTATAGACTATAGAATACACTTAGCTACCTACCTAAATATCTATTATAGAACGGAATTAAAAATAATATTTGTTAAATTATTTTTCACAAGACTACGGAGTTTTTTTTACGAAGTAATGTCTAAAAATTGACTGAAAAACAAGAAAATCATCATTAGAGATTTATGCAATCATTTTCCACGAATTAACGTCTTAAAACTGTTTTAAAATTGTCTTAAAATGATCTTAAAAATATCTTAAAAGTATCTTAAAAGTATCTTAAAAGTATCTTAAAAGTATCTTAAAAGTATCTTAAAAGTATCTTAAAAGTATCTTAAAAGTATCTTAAAAGTATCTTAAAAGTATCTTAAAAATATCTTAAAAGTATCTTAAAAGTATCTTAAAAGTATCTTAAAAGTATCTTAAAAGTATCTTAAAAGTATCTTAAAAGTATCTTAAAAGTATCTTAAAAGTATCTTAAAAGTATCTTAAAAGTATCTTAAAAGTATCTTAAAAGTATCTTAAAAGTATCTTAAAAGTATCTTAAAAGTATCTTAAAAGTATCTTAAAAGTATCTTAAAAGTATCTTAAAAGTATCTTAAAAGTATCTTAAAAGTATCTTAAAAGTATCTTAAAAGTATCTTAAAAGTATCTTAAAAGTATCTTAAAAGTATCTTAAAAGTATCTTAAAAGTATCTTAAAAGTATCTTAAAAGTATCTTAACAGTATCTTAAAAGTATCTTAAAAGTATCTTAAAAGTATCTTAAAAGTATCTTAAAAGTATCTTAAAAGTATCTTAAAAGTATCTTAAAAGTATCTTAAAAGTATTTTAAAAGTATCTTAAAAGTATCTTAAAAGTATCTCAAAAGATCTCAAAAGTATCTTAAAAGTATCTTAAAAATATCTTAAAAGTATCTTAAAAGTTTTTCACGAAGTATCGTCTTAAAATTGTATTAAAATTGTCTTAAAATGTACTTAAACTTGTCTTGAAATTGTCTTAAAAATGTCTTAAAATTGTCTGAAAAACACGAAAATCATCTTAGAAGCCTTATGTAGTCATTATTGTCAAAATTACATTTCCACAAAAGTATTTGAAACAAAAAACTTAAATTTCTTTAATAATAATGTTAAATTTTTTTTAAAATATTTTGTATTAATGATTGAATAAGATTCTAAATGTCATTTTCGTGTTTTTTATATAATTTTAAGACTACTTTAAAACAGTATATAGTTAATGATAATTTTCTTATTTTTCAGACAATTTTTTGACATTTCTTCGCGAATAAAAATTCGTTGGATCTTTTTTTAAATCTTTTGGGAAAATCTTTTTTTAATAATGATTGCACAAGACTGTGAGATGATTTTCGTGTTTTTTAGACAATTTTAAGACATTTCTTCCTAAAAAAAATCCGTAGGGTCCTGTGAAAATTTTAACTTTGTTTTTCAAAATCTTTTGTGGAATTTTAACATTTTTCAATAATCGTATAAGTTTCTTATGATGAGTTTCGTGTTTTTTAGACAATTTTAAGACAATTCTTCGTGAACATTTTTTTCCATATGGTCCAGTGGCAATTTTAATTTTTTTTTTAGTTATTTGTGTACATCTAATTTTTAAATAATTATCATTCACTAAGGCTCTAAGATCATTTTCTTGTTTTTCAGACAATTTTTATACATTTTTTCGTGAAAAAAAAAATCGTATGGTCCTGTGAATATTTTAACTTTGTTTTTTCAAAATCTTTTGTGGAATTTTAAAATTTTTCAATAATCGTATAAGTTTCTAATAATGAGTTTCGTGTTTTTAGACAATTTTAAGACAATTTTTCGTGAAAATTTTTTCCATAGGGTCCTGTGGAAATTTTAATTTTTTTTAATTATTTGTGTACATCTAATTTTCAAATAATGATCACTAAGGCTCTAAGATCATTTTCATGTTTTTCAGACAATTTTAAGGCATTTTTTCGTGAAAAAAAAAAAACCCGTAGGGTCCTGTGAAAATTTTATTTTTAATTATTTGTGTACATCTAATTTTTAAATATTGATCACTAAGGCTCTAAGATCAATTTTATGTTTTTCACACAATTTTAAGACATTTTTTTGTGAAAAAAAATCCGTAGGGTCCTGTGAAAATTTTAACTTTGTTTTTTCACAATCTCTTGTGGAAATCTAACTTTTTTTCAATAATGGTCGTATAAGTTTCTAATGATGAGTTTCGTGTTTGTCAGACAATTTTAAGACATTTCTTGCTGAAACATTTTTCCATAGGGTTCTGTGGAAATTTTTACTTTTTTCAAATTTTTTTGTGTACAAAGCGTAGAAATTTGCAACACGAGTGTCGTAAATCACGGAATGGAAAAAGTGTTTGTCACGTGTTACATACTTTACTTTTTATACTATTAATTTTAACTAATTCAAAAATAAATGTTATTTACTAATTTAAACACTATTAACTATAATTTTTACTATTTACAGTTACAGTAACTTAAATATACGTGTGTATTTGCGTACGTACAGTGTAGGATCTACATTCTATGATGTAAAAACGTTTTCGTGTTAATAATCATTGTGAAGTGGACTAGGAATTTTATGGAGTCGTAAAATCGTTACTTTTTGAGTCTGGTTTCTAGAAGTTAATGCAAATATTTAGAATATCGGCGTAATTTTGTTGATAATTTTTATAACGCTCAAACCGATCTGGCATTTTTTTCTTAATTGATAAACTATACCGAGGTTCATCGAAAATTAAATATACATAAGCACAAAACAAATTTGTTTTATCTTTATTTTTTTTTATACGAGAGTGGATTAATAACATTTTACATAGGAGCAAGGCAGAAATTTTTGTAGCTCTTTAGCATATAAATAAGAAAACAAATTTACGGTATGTAACTCGAAAATAAAAGAAAATTGTACATAAATATGTGAAATTTAAAGTAATCTAGGTCTGAAAAATCTCTAATCTGAAAAAAAAATAGATTTATATCCGTTTAAAAATTAATTGCTTCAAATGTTTTGAAAACAATGTACCAATTGCCAAATAATGTGCATGTTAGATCAGATCCCAGATTTTCCATTTGTTACCGAATCGCAAAAGTTTCCTTGGTGGGAAAAGGATTTCAATGTCACAGCTCTTATATTTGTCATTTATCCAAAGCACCACAAAGGTAGTTAATTGTCTTCAACAATGGATTTTGCTAGTACACAAATAATGTTTTCAAGAACTCGCTGGCTCATTTATATTGTTGCCAAACGTTTTGTTAAAGTTGACATTCACGATTCATAAAAAAAATGCACGGATTTCAATGTTAACGATTTAAATATAGCCCCATTCAACCAAATCTAAAAATATCTACCTATTTGTCAACTTTGACCTATTTTTATATTAAAATAAACTTATTTTGATATAATAATTTAGGTGTCTAATAATTATAATTTTATTACTACACTTTCTTTGTATTATTGTTCTAAATACAGGGTGTCCCAATGAAAAGTAGCCCCATTTCCAGAGCTTATAACTTTTAAACAAAGTTTTGCACAGTAACACAGAAATTATGTATTACCTATACAGGTTGTTTTTTAAAAAATCTCTTAAATTCACCGTAACCAAATTTTATCAAATGGAAACGGGCTACTTTTCATTGGGACACCCTGTATTACATTATTTTGTAGTAGGTATTTTTTAATAAAAAAAAAACGTGATAACGTTGCTAAATTAAATCAAAACCATAATATCAAGTACCTTTTTCTGAAATAGCATCTAAGCACTTGATTGAAGGAGGTATGTAGGTATGTATAATGCATTTAAAATTTTTCAAAGAATGTAAAAATAAAATTGGGTTAGGATGCACGTTTAGTTGAAAATAGATCATTCTAATTTGAGTGGGTTAGACTAAAGTGTGACAGGATGAAGGTGAAACCGTAAACAAGCCATTTTTTTTTAATTCCAAAATATGTTAATCACACTCGTTCTATATACGAGGGTATAGAAAAGAAACATAATTTTAGAGCAACAAATTAAACTACGTAGTCAAAGAATTTATAAACGGGGTTTTGGGTTTTGAAATTAAGAAACGATACATATTATTTTTTATGAGATTGCAATTATTTTAATTTCGTAATTTTTAAATTATACTTTGTAATCAATTAAGGGGGGGGTTGGCCCCCAACATTTCCCATGGCTACGTAATTAAAATATTATTTTTTGTATATAATTTTAATAAAATTTAACATTAGATACATTTGAACTACTGACTTAATTTGAGTTTATCTGAAACTTACACTTAAAAAGTTTTATTTTGAACTAGGTTTAATGAAGTTTTTTCATCCGGTACATTAGATCTACTGATGTAATTGGTTAATTTATCAAAAATATTTATTAA